TTTTTAAGACTATATTTCTCTCTGTACATTGCTTTCCTGGTCAATGCCAGGATGATTCCAGCTCTCTGTACATTGCTTTCCTGGTCAATGCCAGGATGATTCCAGGACCTTGGCCTGGGCATTCCCTGAAGGAATGACATTTTGTTTCATCCTTTTCTTTTTGACAGCACATTCAGTGCAAGAGCACCCAGGATTGGAGAGTACTTAATCCTAATTTGTTACTTAATCTGTGGTTTGTTAGTTAAGGATTAGTCACATGGTCMAATCACTTCAGATAAGCAAGTTGTCATATGTTGGGTGAATCACAATAAATGTGCATCTATATGATCCTAGCACACAAGAAATACAAAACAATTCAGTTTYATTTAAAATGCAATGAAGAAGGATTCATTTAAATCATGTTACCTTYAATTACTGTGTTATTAGTCTCAAAGGTGAGTAAGAATATTTTAGATTTATTGTACTAACATGCATAGCAAGTACAATGGTGWTTAAAGCTATTCTATTCTCAGAAATATTTCAGTTTATAGTAATTTRATTCTCAACATATTTTCCTATTGCTTTAAGTAGAGATTTTTTAATTTATGAGTTTCTCTTCTGCCCTGAGCCAGAATTAAACAGATGGTCTGATAGACTTAGTCGACTACGCATGRACTTGGGAAATTTTTATTTTTAAAAATCTTTCTTGTACAATTCTAGGGTATTGGTTATCATGGCACCAAAACAGACAATTCCTGTTACAGCAGGTCTGGAAATCATGTTGACTTTAGCTGKAGATCAAAGAAACAGGTTGCCACCATTTGCTAAGTCACCTTTCAGATATATCTTTTATCCCTGCTGGTTGTAAAATATGTTAAATGGTCTTAAAGGTGTTTGATTATGTGCTTGTGGCTAAGAAACATCCATGTGTATAAGTGTCAGACCTTAATTTGGTACTAATGCTTTCAGCCTAGTTATTTTCCTTACTGTTCCAATGTAAAAGCAGCACTTCCAGCTCTGAATTAGGATTTTTCCTGTATGAATTTCCAGTTTCACAGCTGAGGAAAAAAAGGGCATTTGTCAGGCATCTGAGAGGGTGAGCCTTAAGCCTGTTGTACTTGCCCTCTATCCCACTCCACTTCTTACTTTCATGGGGCATTGGAAGTCCAGCTGAAATGTGAAATAATTGGTGTCAGCATGGGTTTGAAGGTTCTGGTCTAGCTCACAGGCAGTGAGGACAAGGCAGTGTGTTGGAGCCCCTGGATGCATCCAGTCTGCTTCTTGGTACTCAGCAATCCATAGGACAGAGTTCAGCATGTCTCAGGATGAGCAGGGTAAAAATGAAAGAAGTCATAGAAGACTGGTGGATGAAAGGGATTGKTTTTTTCATAGTGGACTTAAATTAATTTACTTCATCTTTTTTTTTTCTTGTAGTTTATTCTCAGTGTTAGACTGGACTACCGAATTTCCTACATGCTGTCTATCTATAAGAGAGAGTKTGGGGAAAACACTGAAAATGTTGATTGCTCTCCATCATCCCCATCTGACACATCAGGGACTGCCTCAGGTAAACCTTGCTGCTCTCTTTCAATGCAAAATAATTCTGGGTAGGCGACTGCACACAATGAGCTTAACTACACCAGAAAGACACAGGCTGCTGCAAGTTGAAAAGCTTTTTAAAAAATAAAAATTTTAAGGAACTTCACTTTTTTTTTGCTGGCCTGTCCTCCTCTAACAAGAAAGTGATTATTTTTTTCTACTATATTTTGTCCTTTTATTTGTGCTCTTCCCAAAACACTGCATGGTGGCAAATGGAGTGGAGGGCAGATTATGGAGAATGGTTGGGGATGGGTGAGGACATGTTTATGTTGGGTGAACATGGTACAGGAATGATTTGGCTTTCCAGGGAGCCTTCTCATGCACACAGAAGTGCTTAAAAGGTCTGTGTGATCTCCTGCAAGTAGGGGAGAATTGCTCTAGTTGGAGGTGGGCACATCTGTAACATAGGGGTACTAAAGTCTTAAATAATAAGTTATATTAAAGTCATTAAAGCAAAATAAGGCTGTGGTAAATAATTTGTTTTATGGCAGATATTCTAAAGTTCATGTATATGCTTTGTTGGGGTTGGCTCATGTAACAAAATATGTAAAAGTTTGGTAATCTGTGTCATTTGTGGGTTCTTGCYGGTGGCTAGTGCAGCTCCTAGCACATGTGGCCTTGGTTCATCACTACAATTCTCTTCCTCAGGAACAGTAATACACAATTTAACTCTGCCCCATATACTTTTGTTCTCTGCTACTCTTGCAGAAAGTGAGTTTTGCCTAGTTGGGGAATGACTAGTTAGACCTTTACTTGATACCATCTGCTTTAAAGGGGAACGGAATTCCATTTTGCTGTGCACATTAAACAATGATCATTGCCTTTTTTTTTATTTTTAATTTTTTCTTCTGTTTCTTTTTCCCAGCAATTGTTCCTGACATAGATGAAATTGCAGCTCAGGCTGAAACCATGTTTGCTGGCAGGTATATTCTCTGAAGTTTTATTTCCATGGATATATACATATATAGATTTGTTCACACTGGTATTTCTCATGGACAATCTCTGTTTATTCTGTGCTCATTTTCATAACCCTTTYTCTTCCTTTGCCTGCTTGTTATTGCATAAGCCATACTTGAACAGAAATGTTCCAGGAAAGACCTGGATTTCAGTCAAACAGCCCAGCTGGTCTGGAAGGGTGTGGGATTGGGTATGACCACCCTCTTTGTTGCAAGAGAGTTGGTGCAAAGTTTTTGTCATGTTCCCAAAGGCAGCTGGGAAATGGTGTATTGGGCTAAACTACACTCATCTATTTATCTTATAAAATTAAAACCTTCTTTTCTGCTGTGTCTTATGGCAGCAGTCTCTCAGTATTTCTCATAGACCATTCATGACCTGGTGTCATTGCACKTGGTGTTCAAACGCACTGGGAAAATTGTGTCAACAATAATCTCCTGTGACTCCTCAGATCAGGAGTGGACCACTTGCCATGATCTCCTGGACCACCAGAGGCCTGTAGATCCCAAGTTATGCCTGCAGAGTTTTGGAAAGGATTTCAGCTATGCTGTGAACAGAAAAATAGCTCCACGGAAAATWCTCACACTGGAGAGTTACTACCATTATCACTGTATTGGTTTAATTTTATGGGTATAATTATAATTATACCAGTAAAAATTAATTCCATTTAGACAAGGCCATAGACTTTAAAGTTTTTCTTGGAGCTAAGGAGAAGGATCCACGATACGGGCACAGTGATCTTTCCTCTCTCAGTCCCTCATGCATTCTTAATCTTTACCAGCACAAGCAATGCCTCCAGGCCTCTCCCTGAACTCCCACAATGTAAAACCACACACAGCCCTTGGCATCTGCATCTTTAAAATGAACAGAGAGACCGAATGGTTTCTTGGAAACATTATTTCTGCTTTGATATGTTAAGTGTAAATCTGCTTTCTGCCATTCCACATTATGTATATGATTCCAAAAAATATGATGCTTTTGGCAATACTTGCTATTTTTTATCTTATTTTTTCTTAAATGAAATTTTAATAGCWGCTGAAAAGGGAAGGAGTGAAAAGAAAAGGGTCAAATTAATCTCTGATGAAATGCAGTTTACTTCATTTAATTTGGAATAGGGATGAGCCTGGCTTAATTTAACCAAGACATAAGTGAATGTTTTTGCAATATAGATTTTAATCACAATGTTTGACACATTTCATAGATGATTTGCTTTTGTTCCATAATGTCCATTCTGCTATAAGATTGGTCCAACAGCATATAACTATAGGATATGAGTCCTTGTACAATATGTTAAAATTTTATTTATAGTTTCCTTCCTCTAGTGTATTCAATTTGATTTTAAGAGCTCTGTCAAGTGAAGATTGTGTGTAGAGGCATATTTATCTCAAAACATTTTATTTTTTCTTATTTACTTTACTTTATTTGGTCCTTTTCTCCCCATTTCTGTTGCAGAAAGGAAAAGAATGCAGTTCAGCTTGATGATGAAGGGGGCAGAACTTTTTTACGGGTCCTCATTCACCTTATCATGCATGACTACCCCCCATTGCTCTCAGGAGCTCTGCACCTGCTGTTCAAGCACTTCAGCCAGAGAGCAGAAGTTCTGCAAGCATTTAAACAGGTATGGATGGGCAGAGCATTATCCCAGGACACTGAATACAAGAACCTTTGCAAAGGCTGCTCTGCTACTTAAATTGCTGCTTGTTGCATGACAGTGTTACTTCCTTAGAGGTCCAGTATCAGCAGAGTTCCTTGGCTTATGTGCTGGTATATATTATAGTTCTGTGCCCCTAGAAACAGTTATTTCTGGCATTGCATCCATTAGGRAAAATGCAGGTCTGTGGTGAGCCTCTCACGTTGATCCCTCAGGGACAGAGCAAGTGTCTCATGTTTGACAAGCAGTGTCCCCGAGTCAGCAGCAAGACCCCGCTGTCTTCAGGGACACTCCACTTCAGGCTGGGTACCAAGCTCTGTTGTTATTCACCTGGTGCCTCCAGTTCKAAGTCAGGTGTCTTTGCACAGTGCTGCCCTGCCTGATACAGATGTACCCAAATAGCAGGAAGGCAGGAACAGAGCCAAGCCTGCTTTCAGCTTTTCTTCTTTYCCTCTGGTAGCGGTGCATGTGCAGGCTCCATGTGTCAGTGGATTAGGATGGGGAGATCTGATGTCATGGGGCTGCATGACAGAGACGTCTCTGTTACGTAACCCTTTGTAGCATATGTTGATAAGACCATCTGATGCTTATTTCAGGAGCTTGGTAGCGTGTTGTCTCATCGTTATGTAACATGGGGAGGTTTCTCTCCTGTAAAAACAGATGAATGATAAAGACCTGACAGGCTTTTGTTTAATGTTTTTGTTGTGCAGCATAATGGCCTCCCACCAGGTATTTAAAGTTAGGCTGCGCTGGTTAGTTGCATAAATAGCTGTTATTCCCAGGTAAGCAAACACTGAGTTGCTTAACATGATTTTGTGAAGGATGGAAAAGACTAATTGAGAAAAAAACAGCAAAGACTGTACAGAACATGGAATAAGAATGTCTGCAGATAAGCAGCATTTATAAACTCTGTAAAATAACAASGTTTTGCCAAGCCAAGAGCGATGATTATGATGAAAACTTTATATAACAAAATAGTGAATATTTGCCTGGATGTAACATGCTTTTAAAAAGAACATCCCTATCAGTGTTGTCAGTGACCCTTAATCTCTTACATAAGTATGATTTCTTAAGTGTTTATTAATTTACTGTAAAGACTGCTGTTAGTTTTTTGAATATTATCTTCATTAATAATCTTGGGAGAACAGACAGTGTTACAAAGAAAGAAAACGTGTAGATCATGCTAAATCAAGAACTACACATAACAGTGAAAAACCCAGCTAATCTGAGCAGTACAGAGAAAGGAAAAAATGAAACTAATCTTAATAAGTGGCAACCACTCAGATGGTGAGAAATTCCATGAACCTGAAAGTCAATTTGTCAACTACATTCAAAGAAGTTTTTCTAAGTTGGCCTAACAGTGTTAAAGTCTTTTATTTTTTAATATTTGGTTATGGTGGYGTAGGTTAAAACTGCTGGCCATTCTGGCTTTTCTTTGGATGSCCTGATTCCTTGTCATATCATCCCTTTCTTTTTCTTTTTCTTCTGAAGTACAGTGCTGAAGCATTAGCTGTTTCTAACTGTTGCTTCAATAGTGTGTAGCTGTATTGTTTTAATGTCMTGAGGATCATAATGAGTGCATCAGAGCTAACCTTGCATAGAACTCCAGAGCCTGTAAATCTGCTTGTGCTGAAAATGTTTTGCAGTGCTTTCAAGAAGGTGAGAGGATGTTGTGAATATTGTAACTMTCCTGTTTTGGGCAACTACAGCCTCTGGCTCTGTTAATAGTTTTCGATAAATGGGGGCTAAAAGCCTGTGAGTGCCTTGTGTCAATTGCATAGGAAGGGTTGCATAAAGCACCTGAAAAGAGAGGCTCACAATGGAAACTGTCAAGCAAATTACCCAGCCCTAAGTGCTGGTGCTACTGCTCTAATAGCTTTACAATTTCCTCTGTTTCCAGGTTCAGTTGCTGGTGTCCAATCAAGATGTGGATAACTACAAGCAAATCAAGGCTGATCTTGATCAGCTACGTCTGACTGTAGAAAAATCAGAACTGTGGGTTGAGAAGAACAGCAATTATGAGAGTGGAGAGGTGGGCGACAATCAAACCAAAGGGGGAGAAGAGCCAATGGAGGTGGGTTTAAAGCCTTTGCTCTTAGAATTGTTTCARTATTGAGAGGTTGTTTAATGAACAACTGTAAAAATCATGGTCTGGTTAARCAAAGAGGCAAAGCGAGAATGTGCAGTATTCTGGCTGAGTTCTAGGAACAGACAGAAAAGGAAATAAAACCTCTGTAATCAATGTATTCAATAATCTGTCCTGCTGCTTTCAGTAACTGCATTCTTATGTCACAGAGCTGCCTTCCTTCCTGGGTGCAAGCCACAATGCACAGCAGCACTCTGGAAATAATCTGGGAATCATCTGCTGGCAGTTGGGTTGACTTGCTGGAAGAAGGGAGGAGTAGACATTGTCCTGCAGCTAAGGGAGAGGAGCACAATCAAACCCATACTTTCAAAAATCACAAGTAGTTCCACTCTTCACCAAATGTGAGATTGACCTAAGAATGTTGAGACTTTATAGGTGAACTAATATTTTCRTATCTTTAGGCCTTGTCATACCACTTTCTTGGGATATACTCTGATTTGAGAAGCTCTAAAACTTGAATCTAGGACCTTGAAGACCTCTTTCTTTTTTCTCTTAATTTTTTTTTTTTATTTCATTGTTTGGATTTTTAAAATTTTGCTTTTCAGTGAAAACTGAAGTCACTATGTAATCATTTAGCTACAACATGAGCTTTTAAGAAAACACAAAGTGTTGCTGTGATTGAGGTTTGTGGCATAAGAGTTGATAGAGCAGGCTTTCCCACTAATATTTATTCCCACTTTTCCATTTTCCTCAGAGGAAGTGGGGGAGCGATGAACAACTGTGATTTCTGAATAGCATTTTCCTTGTTTGCTTTCCTGTTAAGAGAGATGGTAAGGATGCCTTACCATCTCCTGTAAAGAGAGATGGTAAGGATGCCTCCAGGGGAAGCCTAGCAGAAAGCCAAGTAGAGGTTGTACAGCATTGTGAAGGCCAAACATTAGGAAAAGGTTGGAGCCATGGAGAAGAGAGAGGATGGTTGCAAATATCTGTGACACACACGTGGCCCTTTAGATGGGAAAGCAGATTTTGGTGGCTTCACATGGGGGTAAATCCAACACTTCAAGGAAGAATCCCAACTTTTTGCAATGGTGTAAGGTCCTACTCCTTCTCTGCTGTGTCTTATCTGCATTGAGTGGTGTCAGAAGTAGGGAGGAATCTGGACTTGGAGCTTCAATATGTGGTATTTCCTACTTTCTTTCCTCAAGCACAGCTTTCTAGTAGGAAAGAAAATGTTCCTTCATATATTTAATGAATTGAAAAGATAACGGGGAAACAGAAAACAGAACTGCAGCAGGATTACAAAGTTTTTTAGCTGTAATACATTTAAAAAGTGYAATAAAATCCTTTTTATTCCTATGGGTAGCCCTGATAGCAAGGGAACTCCAGGAAAAGGGGGCAAAACAATGTATTTGAAACAGAGGCATCTCTCAATGGGATATTTTGAGTGTTTTTTTCCSATGAGGCACCTGTGGGTCTGGATGGATTAGCAGTGCCTCAGTAGATGCACAATATTATCTCTGGCAGATCAGAGAGATTATTGTATCAGAGCARTAATACGTAATCTGCTGGTTAGATCATCTGCTGGTAATTCCCTGAGAGCTGTGCCAGGTTACAATAGCTCAGAACCTTGTCCATCGTTTTTTTTCCCCTGCTAAATTATTCTCTAACAATCAGGAATGTTTTTTACCTGGCAGAAAAAAATAATGTTAGATAGTCAGTACTCTCTTTGAGGTCTTCAGTCAGATGTAGGAGGTGTAATGTGGGGCATCGTCTACAAMGTGTGAAGCAGGTGGCTAGCTTTAAGCAGATAAAAATCCCATGAGATCCATGCTTCCTTGGAATGGATACTGGGTAGTCAGAGCTGGATGAACCTCTAGGTCTTAAGGGAATATGCTTCATTTGCCTGTGCTTCATTTTTTCCWAACAACATTAAAGTGCACACAGGGGCTTAAATGACATGCCAGAACACTCATGTTAAACTGAAATACCTGTTGTCACATGAAGCATGTTGAAAGATGTACAAAAGGGTTTAAAAATATAATTTTTTTTTGCCTAAGTCTTCCTGAGTATTTGTTTTCAGCTTACTATCATAACCTGTGGATCTTTTTTTCCTTTTTTTTTTTAAAGTCATGTGACTCCAGAAATGGATTTGTAGAAAAAAGGCCTTGTTCTTATAAAAGWATCCAGAGTACTCCACAGGAAAAATGTCAGGTCTTACATCCATGCAGGACTGTCTTGATAGGAACTGTAGATCAGAGYTGGAAAGAGTACATGGAGTTAGGTCAGACATAAATGAGACACCACATAGGGTTAGGAAGAAATGCTGAAATTGAGCTCACTCAATAAGAACCCTGCTTGAGCAAGGGAAAGCAGATAAAGCCTGTTCACCTGTTTCTCTCTGGGAAGGGTGCTCTGGATCTGTGGATATTCCAGACCATGGAAAGTGTGATTTTTATTGTCTTGTTGGAGGATGCTTTGCTGGTGTAGCACCAGAAACACAGCTCTGAGGAGGAGAAACAGCCTTTGTGAAATGTGAAGCTGGAATAGAGTGCAATAGCATTTATGGAATTTGTCATCATTGCCATCTKCTGAGGAGCAGTGAAGTTTCAAGTGGTCTAAATTTTCAGCACCCGTAAGCACCTGGTGATCCCTCACTTCCATGCTTTTCTGCTCTGTGGCATTTTGCTTTGGTTCTGGGAATGTTTGAACAAACATCACATGTAGGTTGAGGTTGTGAATAGAGACCTGTGAGTTTGTCTCTCATTCCCCTGGTATGGAAATACACCCTGTAGAGGCCAAAGCTGCATCATGGGGACACTGACAAGTGCCTTTCTCTGCTGTCCTGCTGGGATGAGGGTGGCTATTCACTGGTGGGGAACTGGTCCAACAGAATGCTGGAATCTGGGATTCCATTGGGGGCTGGCGAGAAAGGACCTAAGAYTGATGCTGAGCAGTATTCCAGGATTTTTATGAATAGAGGAAGTAGTCTCTTTCAGAAAATGTGATTTTCTAAAGGTGAGGTACTCAGGTGAGAGCCTCTCTCACTGAGATCTCTATGCCTGCCTGTTCCCTGTGGAAAAGTGTGACAGAGAATGTCTATCATGGGGCATAATGAGGTAAGATATGCAACTGAGTGTCTTTGGTGTCCCAGTGGTGTGATTATCTCTYGGTAACTACATCCCTGACATACTCTTATGGGTTCAATAAACWACTTTTTATTTTGTTAAGAGAAAGGATAGATTCAGCAGTTTAATGCTGATCAGTATTTCCAGATAAGACATATAGTTCACGTAGATTATAAAACTACTTTGATGGAGGAAGAAGGCTGATAAAACTAGCAGGTAAATGAATCTTGGTTAACCCACAATCCCAGAATGAARAAGGGTGCTTAATTATAGCAAACCCCTGAAATATCTCCCAAAGTATTGATTCAAACAGCTAGAGAGATGGCAGCCTGCATACTAACAAAGCTAAACAAATAAAATCCACTCTTGTTACAYAGATCAGTATGGCTGAAAAGCAGTGCTGACATGCTTATAAACAACTTCCATGGCCAAGTGGTGCAGCTGTTCTTACCTCACTGGAAATTAGGACCAGATGGGATTTATAGAACTCCCGAACTTCACCATCAGCTAAGAAAGTTCAGAGAGAGGCTTCAGGATGTATAAACATTCAGCTTGACGTGCATATGTGTGTTTTAGTGTATTTCTCTTCTCTAAAACAGTAGGAAGTTTGAGGACCAATGAAACTCAGAAGTGCACCTGTATCTTCTTTTTTTTTTATGCTGTTACACTGGCTTACACCCTTGTGGTTGCACTGTGACTCAGTCTCAAGATTTGCTAGAATTTTCCTTCATGCTTTATAATTTCAGCATCCGAAGTCCAATCTTTCAATTTTTTTTTTTTTTTTTTTTTTTTTTTT